ACGATGTCACTTTATCCATGATACAAAATTAGCAGCATTAAAGCTTTAAATTTACTGTCGATGAAGTGTACTATCGGCAAAATAACTGTCGACGAACTGTACTGTCGATGAAAAAATGCCTCCCATTACCAACTAGAGAACAGGTTTTCGCTATTATTATTAGTGAGAATGTTTTGGGTTTGTCACTTGCCACACACATGAATAGCAATTTTTGTGATTTAATCCATTGATTGCTATACATTCATTGTAGAAGATTAATGATTTTTGTCTTTCAAAGTTGTAGGTTTGACTTCTAGCATGTATTTATCCAATTGTACTAATATCGATAAGAATACTGGCTCGTGTTTACAATCAAATTTAAATCAATGAGACGTTGTAACACGAAACGTTGCTAAGGTTATAAAGTTCAAGTAACTTTTCAATGTTCACGATAACCAACGTCACAATATTTATATACATAGAAGACATTCATATGACAGTATACTTGCATTGTATGTATATATTTATTATATGTATTCCGATATCAACACATCGCCTAACCTTGTATTTGACTATTTCGTAAGATACAATATTGAATCAGCATTATCTATTGAATCAATGCCTCCGTTTTAAAAGATTACGTATAAATAGAAGTAAATATGCTACCATCAATCATCGTATTCACGGTGTTCCTGAATCAAAGCACAACATCCACACCACAGATGAGTACAAGAGTCTCCTAGACAACCGCCCTAAGGAAACGCAACAGGAATTATTAACAAACAGATTGAAAAAGACATGCACACACACGAAAGAAAATAAAAACAGCCATACATCGATTCCTTTTTGTCCACGAATTTCACCCCGTCCCATAGTAGCAAGACAACACGAAAAGCCTATATACATAGCACAAAAGAAGCAACAGCAATTTGAACCGAAACTTCCGCTGTTCATTTTCTCTTTTGTTTCGCCCTGTAATGAATTAATTGTATTAGAGAAAAAGAGTATTGGAAAAAAATTCAGACAATTCCGTACTACACTAGACTTACGAATGTGATACAAGGGCAAAAGCAGGTTTTGAAACAGAGTCCGGGGACAGAAAAGCAGTCGAATAAACCTGCTTTCCAATTTCTTTGACCACCTCTTGCGACAGGTTGTGGTTGGGCTTGAGGTACGCTCATCCCCGTCTGTGGTACATAGCCACTTTGTTGTGGCAGTTGCGACGGATATTCTTTTGTTTCTTGATATTGGGACATGTCGTTGAAATAGAGTGATAAAGTCCTTTTTTGTTGCTATTAATATTAAAGGCTGGGATTTTCTCGCTTTGAGCAAGGGAATGAGAAAAATCGAGTACTTTTTTTTTTTGAATAGAAACTCGGTCTTTATAATAACGATTGTGTATTACATCTGTTAGGTAGTACAAACAAAAATCAAATGCACGAGATCGAATTTGGTTCATGCAAACTATTTTTATCAAACGAAGACTGGCCCTCCTCCCTCCTCCTCCTCCCTCCTCCTCCTCCCTCCTCTCCTTCCCCTCCCCATCTCCCTCTCGTGAGGGACATGCATGTTCATAGCGAAAGTGGATCGGATGTCATGATGACAGCCTCACTCGGGAAGTTCTGCTGATTAACTTGTGATACTGTTCACTTATTCTTTTTCCCCTCCCCAAACACCTCCCCTTTCTCGTAATAATCCTTTGTTCCCCCATAAATAGAGAGCGTTTGTGTGTAACTCACATAATCGTTCATTCATTTTTTACTCATGCTGGGTTATGTGTAACGCATGCTAACGATTTTCGTTCATGACTATAAGATAAGGGGGCCCTAACAGTACTATCCAGCATGTAAATCTTAGATAGCCGATGCTGTAGCACACGTATTGTTCTTAGTACAGTGCATCTTACGCCATGAGTTTCGTATGTTGTTACACTTATTAGTGGGACTTCTTGCGTGTTGCGTGTGAGAAATATTCATTTCATCACGTTACCACAATTTTATTTGTTGGCCTAATTTAACCACAGTCGGTTGATATTGACAGCCCATAATCTACAATCCGGCTATTCTATAAGAAGGAAGAATCGTGTCACAACGTTAACTATGTTAGGGGAAAAAAGCCAAACGACCGCTATGAACAACAAACTCATCTCCACTTTGAGGCAAAGTTTAATTGACGACGAACATGATAATGCGATTGAGTTATAGCATTATATGAAATCCTTTTCGTTAAGGCCGTTAGAGAGGGTTCACCCTCCTCTTGTAATATGTAATAAATCTATTAGTCTGGCAGTTATTACGATATGAAGTATTTACAAGAATTGCGCCTACGACTTTAATAATCGTGTTCGTAGGACAGAAAAAACACTAACGTGCAGTATGTTACACTTTTGTCCACTATTTTGTACGTCTGTTAAAGAAAATACCGGTTCAGGGGCTATGGTGCATTGTTGCATTTCTTATGCGAAATAAAACGATCTCTTTCATTCTATACAGCTTTTGCCTTATTGACAGAAATGGCCAAGTTATTCTTATCCAGTCCCAGATGTCAAAGTTGTGCTCAGCTACGATGTAATTAATTGCCTTATGCTATAAAATACAGGTGATCACACATATGTTTTCTTTTCCAAGTGATACAATCATATACGGATGACTGATAAAACCATATTCGTATCCATTAATCTTCTCAAGTACAATGCACAACGTATATCTCCTCATTGTTCTTCAATGCAGGGGATAAATTCTGGTTTAACCTTAACATTTTAAAATTTTGTCATTCAATGAATAAGAATAATGCTTAATACAGTCTCTCGATACGTAGTCTTAGTATTAGTATATATCACGTGACAAATACAACCGTAACACAAATTCCTTCAATTTTAACTGGTAGATCACAGCTTGCATATGCACGATCTTGTAATAGCATTTAAATCGTATGAGTATAAAGCACTACAACGTCAGGCTGCAGGGTTATTTTACTATTACTAATTAATAAAAGGCTTAATTAAAAGACTTATTCACGTGATTCTCGATAGAGCTCAATGTTTACAATTATTGAATTATTGAATTGTAGCTTTAACTAAGATAACCAGATTCGATGTCAACATGATTCCACAGTATTTTATTTGAACCGAATACGCATTGTACTCAAATTAGTATTAGTGGTGGGACCTGTCTCAGTTCCGAACCCAGTTGTCTCAGAACTGAGAAAACAGGTCCCCAACTGAGGTATGATATCAAAGTTAATACGTATATGCGAAGAAATTTATATAAAGAAAAATCTGTTCTGTAACCAATGGGGTCGACTGTACGAATTTTAGACTTATTATTACATTATAATTAAGGAAACCGCACTTTATGTCGATTGTCGTTTACCCGCATCCCTTGTAGAAGCAATTGATACGTAAATAGATTCAATTGTCTGAACATAGCAAATCTGTCAATAATAGAGTCAATATGTCGGGCATATATCCTCATCCTACTAATTAAATATTGTTGGCTTATAACTTTAGTAACAATAAACGATGTGTCAATCTTGTCTCGTGCTGGACGCTTACCCTCCAGTTTTCTCAGATGATAGCAACTGATTTTTAGCTCAGGAGACCATTCTCGAGATAAGATTTATCAAGCCCAGTACACAAATTAGAACTGAATAGCCGAGCAAGTGTTTGTTTTCTGTTTCTGTGGTTATGCGACGTGTCTGCTTTATCATGTCGCTGACTATCGTTTGACGATGATATCCAATTGACCACTCCTTCACTTTTTCGGCTTCTCAAGTTGAGCAAATCTATAACAAGTCACGTTTGCTGCACCGCGGCCAGTTACCGACATCGTAAAATGAAACAATGTTCTCTATGCCTTTTCCGTAAATTTCTGGCACATTTTCGAATAAATCATATGCCTCAGGATTTGAGTGTTTAAATGCAGATGACAGTTGCTCAACCAGAGATTATCCATCTCTGCGTGACTTGGTCCTGTTCTGATGATCCTGCTGCGTTAAGCAGCATTGATAAATGATTTCTCTCACTTTGAACTTTGATATTATTGTTGCTTGATCTGTGAGATAACCTTTTCTTTCAAGTGCTTCATCAAAACCCAAATAATGGTCCCTGCTTGCAAGATTTACTGAACACTATAAACAAGTGCCGATGTGCTTTTGGATAAGTGGCAACTTGGGGATGGTAAACCATTTACTGAAGCATAATTGGTAATGAATGCTCACTTCTTCTGCAAGTTCTGGAATGCGTTTTATGTGTTCTTCCTCCGTATAAGAAATTAACGTTGCAAAAATTGCTTGATCACATGCAATATATTGGTTCATCACCACTGATAGATAAATCATCCCAGTACATTGCGTGAACATTGTCATCACAATTTGCCAGGTTCTAATATCACAACTACTTCCATATCAAACTCATTTCTATAATCCTTTACCATTGTATTCTCATAGTTTTGTAGAAGCTTATCAGTAAACAAAGATTCACCAAATTATGAGACAAATTGATTCATTCATATTGTCAAGAGGTTCAGCAACTATAAGACAACAATGATATGTAATTGATGAGCTTTGATCTGCATTTAAATAGAAGCTCAAAAAAAAAAAAAGATAAATATCTCAATATTTTCAATCTTACCAACCGGCCCAATCATGCGGTTTCATCTTTGTATTTCGAAGTCATGACTTGTTCTTATAGTCGACTCTCTAAATGCATGCTATTCTGTATTCTCGACCTCAGGGCTCAAATGCATACTTTTTATATTTTGTCCGTCAATGAATTTTGATAATTCGGCTATATCTGAAAATAATTCCGTAAATGCACGCACGTGATTGAATTATAAATTTAGCAAACAGACTTATACAACATACGTCAGGTCATAAATCTGGTCAGTTCCCCCAGCAAAGTTTGCAAGCTAGTGTGATGTGACAACGGTACTATGTCGTATGGTTTATTAGAGTTTTACTTTTATAAAATTAATAATAGTAATGTCAAATGAACATGTGCACAGTCTCAATGCACAGGAGAGTTAAAATCGCGTGCGGGCAAGCGACGGTTTCCAATTTATTGGATGTGTTTCCGGGGTCTACGAAATTTATGCACAAAATTGGTAAAAAATACCATTTAGTGATTTCGAAAATACATTTCCAATGCATGAATCCACAGTATCTTACCGCATTCGGGTCTTCCCTCCATATTTTTATGGTTTTATCTGCTTCACATGTTATCAGACGTAAACCAGTTCGATCGAACGTACACGCAAATATGCCTGCTTCAGATTCGAGCGAACCTGGTTGCACAGTGGTTTCAAGCGCTTGAAATTTATATCCGGATTTCCAATCCCAGAATGCCATTGTGCCATTATCACCTATCATAACAACAGAGTAAGACGAAACGAGTATTATCATAAGTCTTGTTGACACCTACACCACCCAGAAAGCTTATTCTGCCATAACCATAGCAAATACCAACGATTATTCCATACCTCCCGAGAATAATACATTATCGGCATTTACAGTCAAGCAATTAATAATTGCCTTGTGACCTTCAAAATTCTGTATAAATAATCCTTCGGGAAACTTCCATTGTTTTATATTATCCGCACTCCCACTGGCAAACGCAAACTCTGTTGGATGTAACGCGAGAGCACGGACAGATTTCTTGTGATGCGTAAGTGTGACCATTGTCTTGCCAGCAGCTAAATCCCAAAGACGTATGGTCGAATCCATAGAACCGGTAATAACCTGTGGATCAACTTCCTGACATTTTACATCCGCTACTGTCGAGTTATGACCGCTTAGGACATGGATACATTGCTTTGTTCGCATATCCCATACCTTCAGGAAAAGTGAATCATAAAAATCACCCAATATAACGCATGAGTATGCAAGAATTTCAAATAATAAGCCACCTCCGCCAATCATTTTCAACATCTTACCCTGGCTGTCGCGTCTCTCCCAGCGGTAACCAATACATCCAAAGTTGGATGCAGACTTAGTGAATACACTCCAGAAAGATGTCCATGGTAGTGTCTAATAACTTTATTCTGTTCTAAATCCCAGCATTTGACCATTTTATCCTCTCCGCAAGAAAACAGATATGGATGCCTCGGCGACACAGCCAACCCTCGCACTGTGGATATGTGTCCTGTAAGCGAAAGTTTTAATGTACCCGATGCAAGATCCCAGATCTAAGTTTGAATAATTACCAATTTCAGCAATGTTGATTCTAGGATCACTAAAATTCTACCAAATTACTCGAGAACTCGTTCTTCATATCCATATCATGTCTCTCCCTTCCCTTCTTTCTCTTCCTTACCTTGATAGTTCTATCCCCAGCGCCAGTAACAAACCATTGATTCCCAGGCTCAATAGCCACTGATCTCACCCAGCCCAAATGTCCTGAAATTACTCGCATTAGTTTCCATGGTGGATGCCATTCGGGTTTCTGCAGTCTTGGCGTCTGACGACGGACTAACGAGCCTATGGGTTTAGCGGCTTCAGGAGTGGCTCGGAACCCAGCGCGTTGTCGTATGGCGATAACACCATGGGAAGTTTTTGATGATTCTTGCCTATAATTGATGGCGGGAACAGTTAGGCGGAGAACGAAAGAAACGAGGAAAAAGTATAGTGAGTTTTTTACGAACTCTGCTTTAGCCGACTCGAGATCGTCCAGTATCCGTTGGATGCCAGCCCCTGAGACTTCGCTTTCCATTGCTGTGTCTGATGCTAGCGTGACACCTGATACAAAGTATGTATGAATTAGTGAAGGAATATCTCCAACTGCAAAATTCCGTTCTCGATTAGATCTCATACCGGGAGCATTCGGATATAAATTTCCACCGGTAACGTTTATTTGGCTTTCTTCATTATCTGCTCCATTCGCACTTGTACTTCCATCATTCCCCTCTATTCCAGTTTGTGATCTCTTAGGTCCAACGGTTCCGACTCTCCCACCCTGTTGTGCTGCCACAGCCGCTGGAAGTTCTTTTATTTCGCCATATTCGTCATTTAGTTTTACTCGAACTTTTACTTTCTGACTGAGTGTAAGCGGCATGTTTATATTAGTCTAACAAAACGTAGTAAAATTGAATACAAGCTTGATCAACCAACCTTTCGTCATCGTCAACAACTAGTGCCAATCCTGATATTGATCCCGGTGCCTTTGTCCCAAGAAACATAGCCCGTGTGCGTTTCGCCGATTGGCGAAGTTTGCCTTCTAGATTGGGGTGAATCGAAGCTAATGTGCTAGACTCCATAGTGAACCTGAGCCAAGACGGAAAAGCGTGTATTAGTATTAGTATATTTACGATAACACGTGATACGGTAACACAGTTGTTGTAAATTTTTGCTTTTTCTCACAAAGCAATATTGTAAAAATGAATTCTCTGTCACGTCACCGCTTTACAAACGCGCGGAATTCGCTCAAATATTGCAAGACAATTTCTAGACGGCAAGCTGCTGTTCAAAGGAGCATTAGTACTTTCACGGCCTCTGATTATATACAGAGATTTCCCAAGTTCAAAGACATTCGAGGTCCTTCTCTACGATACTTTCTGTTGTGGACGTTACTAGGATCTGAAGCATTACACTTGCGATGGACGAGAGTAGAACACGAAGAATATAAAGAAAAGGCAAAGTTACAAATTGTAAAACTGAAGGAGCAAATTGCGGCAATGGATGATGGAGGGAAGTTGCAAGCAGCTGGTTAGTAAGCGGAATTGGATTACATCTCGCAGCTAAAGATTAGTAATATTGCTAATATTTGCGTTCTTTTTTTATTTTGAATTAACAGATAATGGCTTTTCTCGGCAGACACAACCACTAACGTCATCAGAAGATATCGATCTGCACAAAAATAAATCAGTGTCCAAAACTAATATATTAATATGATTTCTTCTTTACTTTGATGCAGTTATCTGAAACCTTGAATGTCATTAAAAAGAGTCTGATTGCCGATTGACAAATGCTTTTTCAGAATTGAATAGTTCAGTTTCCTAGAGGAATACTATTAAGATGAGTCGAATGTACTATAAATGTGAATAATAATAATCCTAAATGAATTTGACTTCACTTTCAATTATCATAATTATTCTAAACACAAGCAAACTCATAACAATTCTGCTCTTGGTATTCATGTTCACAAAAGTTAAACATAGCCTTGATGTTCAATAAGTATTACTTGGAACGAGTCTTTATCTTTCCAGCAGCTTGAAACAAAACGTCATGAACTTATAATTTTCTTCATATTCTGTTTGACTTATTGTGTAATGAAAATGTGTTGACTATACACTTTGCTCTCAAGTTATTACACTTTATCAAAGAAGTTGCTTGACTAGTGTGCTAATTATAATATGTCCTAGCAGGATATCAAGCAAGACTAATATTAAACCAATGTGTTCAAGGATTTTTTTATAATGAGTTGTCAGACAGTCATAAAGTAATAAATGTGATACTCGTTTGATTATTCTATTCTATGGTTCCCCAGAGTAAGAGAGTAGCTTGGATATTGTCAGAAGAGATAATTATTCCATATGCCATGTCTTCCTGAAGGAATCTGGTATCATATTGATATGATTATTACTAAAATACAAGAATACTAATCTCTTGGTGAGAAGCACCTTCAACAGGTGTAACTAATAAAGGAACACAAAACTCCTTGCCATCCATACCTTAATATGATGAATATTAAGGCCAGGCCAAAAGAGCTAATTTGAAGACTAGCATACAGTAATAGATTGTGTGCAAAAAAGTGCTTAACTCAAAATTGTTGAGTTTATATTAATATGATTCTTTATATTATTAACTGCTAGCTATAAACCCATTTTAGTAACATGCTTTATTATTATTTGCTACTAATACTAAATGTAAAAGTGCAACGCTATCCCAGAGCAGTAGTGGATTGAGTGAGTACATCTCAAATAAACAGAACAGTAATTTGACAAGTCTTCAATTATCTCACAACAATGATGATTTTATTTCAAATCAATTCTGTATCTATTACTACCATTGATTGAAACTAAATTAAAGAAAAGGGGAGCTGTATCAGTGAAGTGGAAAAAATGAATCTTGTCAATTTAAATTGAGCTCTTATAATCACACTTTTCTTTACCTTTGCCTTTCCTATCTTGATTGCTTATGTCTATTTTGTCTTGTGATGAACTTTTGATCTACTCTAATTTTTCTTTCAGGTAATAGTAATAGTACGGTAAATTTCCACCAGGTTTGGTATATTTCCTCATCACAGCCAGCAGGTGTTTTAATGTTAAGCTTGTCTGAATTTAATCATAGAGAATGATGATCAAGCTAAGATGGCTAATAGAACATGATATATATATATATTAACTAAATTGAAAAAAAATTTTAAGCTTTTAGAGCTAAACAGTTAGAATAATCTGTATTGATGTTGATACACTAGTTGGCGTGTTTATTACATAACCTTTCGCAATTATTGAACCATTTGGTTTGACTATCAATCTTAATCTTAGATGATCCAATTTATTGTATATTGTAGGGTGTTATTTTTCTTGTTAACCAAAATTTATATAAGTGGTGGTTTTCCGGCAAGCATTTTTTGCGGCCCAAAGCATAGCATATAGGCTAGGGCATATAGCATCGCTTTGAGATCGAAAGGCGTTTCGTGTTGATTATTGCCAAAAGATAACAAGTTTTGCAAATCATCAGTCATGCTGCTGTGGCGGAATTTTGTTTCCAAAGTCATAGAATACCTAAGACTTTGTTTAATTAGCTCGTAGTTACAAGATTATGAACTAATGTCTTTAATTCCTTCATTTCATTAATTATCAAATTCAAAGATATTAATATGAATTCAGCCACAACGATGCGATGTTATTCTATAATGTAAAAGTATAAAATCCTCCGCTTTGCCTCTCGCAACTTCATGTCGCACCTTCAAAACAAGAGATATAAAAATTTTACGTGTAATTAGAAATAATATGTTATTGAGAAGATTCATCATCGAATTCACGGTGTTCCTGGACCAAAGCACAACAGCCACACCACAAATGAGTGCAAGCGTCTTCGACAAAATCACCCTAAAGAAACGCAACAAGAATATTAACAAATAGGTCTATGATTTTAAAAAAAAGACATTCACAAAAATGTCTTACGTTGATTCCTTGTTGTGCACGAATTTCGCCACGTGTCATAGTCGCAAGACAACAATCAAAGCCTGTGTACACAGCACAGCAGTAGCACAAACAATTTGTACTGAAACTCATGTTGTTGTTGTTCATTTTCTCTTTGGTTTCGGCCTGTAAGAAATTGAATTAGAGAAAAAGAGCACCATTTATCTTTTAATGACTATTCTATGACTTACATATGTGACACAAGGCAAAAAGCAGGTTTTGATGCAGAGGCTAGGGACAGCAAAGCAGTCGAATAAATCAGCTTTCCAACGGCTTTGACGACTAGTGTCAACAACTCGTGGTTGCTCTTGGGGTACACTCATCCCGGGTTGCGGTTCATACGGCGGCGGTTGCGACGCACCTTCTTTTGTTTCTTTTGTTTCTGGATACGAGTCCATGTTATAAAGAATGATGAAGTGGAGCACTTGAATTCTTTTTTGTCGTTAGGAGAATGTGAGAGAGAATCGAGCGCTTTTTTTTTCGGATTTGAAACTCGGTCTTTATATCTAATGAGACAAATGACGGTGTATTGCATATTGTAGTAGCACAAATTAGAGTTAAAGTCATGCATGGCATGAGATTGATTTATAAAATATGGTTATATGAAGACCGTCCCTTTCCTTCCCTCTCTCGTGAGTAACATAAAGGTGGATAGAATGGTACTGTCGTCATGATGACAGCCTCGTTCGAGAAGACTAACAATGAACAGCTTCTTTTTCAATGCGCAAATTAATCTCTTTGTTCCAACATAAAAAGCTAAACCGTCACTTCATTACAGTGACAAGTCCATTAGTATTACTGCACTTGTAGAACAATCGATGCCAAGGCTGAAAGAAAAATAAATAGTTACACATGTGACAATAGCAAATTATGCGGATACCTCGGTCCGGTTGTACTAATACTAATATCACATTTTATCACGTGAAATGTCCCCACTTTAGGATGGTCACGGAGAAAGCGGCAGTTCTTAGTAAAAAAGGAAGAATCAATAACACAGTTAAGAGAGATTTAGCGTTCAATTTAACATGTTGTTCGTTATACTAATATTGTTGACACAAGAGTAACATGCATGTTATTTGTCGACTTGGTCCGTATTTGATTAACACAACCCAAAGCGAAAACTTGTATTCAGTTTATTCAAGAAAGAGTTATAAAAAGAATCAGTTTGAGGATAGAAGATAATACATCAACAATGGCGCTTGGTTGCGTTCGTCGCAAATTAAATTTATGCAAGAATTGGGTTATTTAACAATAGAGAATCCTTTTTGTTAAAGACTGTGAAATAACATAGCTATAACGAAAAAATAAAATAGCACAAATCTTATTATTCGAGGCTTGTCAGAGATTAACTCATATTAACCTTGAGCCTTTAACACAAGAACTATACGTAATCATTTTTTTGAATGGAGAGGGATTTTGCCTCTTGTAATGCGGTGACCTATTAACCTGGAAGTAATTGGAACGTGCTAGTAATACTGATATGAACAGCTGTGTTATATTTCTGTTTGATTAAAGTATCATAACCGTAGCTTGTTAATGTGGAAAAATAACGTAAATAGAAAAGTGTAAAACATGCAACGACCTATGTTGCTCCCTCTTTTTCTACAGCGAATGAGAATTTACTAAGCTATTTTTATCGCCAGCACACAGATGTCGAAGTTGTTCAGCTATGCTAACTGAACTTGGTCCATGTTATAGTAAGATGGTTATGATGGACGTTTTATCTTATTACCATCAGTACAGTGTACTAGATAGTTTTTATGTTAATATGTAACTGCCCACGTAATTTTTATATCATATCTGCCTGTATATTAGCCAAACGTATTTTTGTCTATTGCTTTGATTGAATCTGTTACTGATTGTAAAAGCTGGTTTTAAAAATCTCAACCATTTTCGATTTTTCGCATAATGTCTACACAAAAGAGAAAGCATTATTGTAACTAAATTTAAGCCACGATAATGAAGAAATTACAAAAGCTGTGGGATGTCATCAAACAGCGATTACAAGGTCGCTAATGAGTTGGGAGAAGCTTTCAAAAACGATCAACTGACTATGATTTATGACAGCCAAAGACAAATACAAAAACAATTTGCCAAACACTCTATAAGGATATTTTGCAGTCCTGCATGCCTCAAAAAAAAAAAAGCCTTTTATTTCCGGCAATAGAAAGAAAACATTGGACTGTGAAAAAGATGGACAGATGGGTTTACGCTTTCAGTTTCGAAAGTTGGGGGAAAAGTCAGGAGAGAATCCGTGAAGTTGCATTCCATCAACAGTAAAATATTTGACATGGTATTTGTAATTCTATTGCAAAGCATCTGAATGATATTCATAATGCAGAATTGATGCATTGTTTGTGATCTTCATGCTGGTAACATAGTTTTTGCATTGAGACTGAAAATAATTTTTAACGTATAGTAAATATCTACCTCTATCACTTGATGCCCGATGTTAACCTAATTTGTCGATGATGCATTCCCATTCGTCATTTGCGTATATCATTCCTATATTAAAATTTCGGACTTCCCTTCAATTACTTCTTCAGGTAAGCTTCATAAGGATTTTATACGACTGTTTTTATATATTGTTATG